GTTGGGCAAGGTCACTGTACATGGGACTGAAAAAGAAGTTGGGTGAGCTTCCAGTCTTAGGAAATGTGAGGGATAAACCCGCCATTTAATATTCTTGCACGCATATGATGTTCTGTACTCTCGGGATCTACTGGACTGTTTCGACCTATAGAGTTCCTTACAAGCAATGGGCTGTTCTGTCCGTGGAGTACGATTTCATAGGCTACCCTTTGAAGCACTGAAATGAAAGAGGAGCTAGTGTGAAGGTTTCATGTGTACATGGGAACCCATAAATCAAGGGATGGACAAATTTGGCAGTTTTGGTTTCTCATTTTTCCACTCTTTAAGTTCATTCTGTCCCTCTTCTGCATCGGTTTGAATTTCTTTTTAAAGTCCACACAAAAAGACTTGTGTGTTTACATGGGCATTTCTTCTAACATGCACATTGTATGTGTGATTTTTTCTTCTATGTGCATAAATTCTCTAACATACTGGCTATTTGCATGATATTATACTAAAATACACATTTCTCTGTAGTATATTAATATCTAATTATTTGATTGCATAACAAAATGCAGAGAAGTGTGAATTTTGATAATAACTGCATTTCAGCTCATTTATTCATTCAGGAAGTACAAATCAAGTTTGCATTAAGCAACCTGAATGAATTTCTTCCTGTCCCTATCAAAATAAGAGGTTGTTTTTCTTTATATTCAGAATTAGGGCAAATGTGCTCATGAGTTTAAATCCCGCTTTCCTTGAGTTACCTCTGGCGTTGTCATCTTCTCAGCAAAGATGACTGTTCCTCTCTGTGGTAGAAGGTGATGAGGAAAGGTTAAATGAGGTCATAGTGAGGAATGGAAATCAGGCATGAAAAATGCGGTTTCAGAAAACAGCTGCCTAATTTAGCGTATGTGTCGAACCATTCTCTAGTTCATTTGCTAAGAGTTGGTATTGCGCTGTGAACAAACAGGTGTGAGTCCCTGGGAGACTGTTTGCTGTCTGGAGACTAGTTTAGAGACTGCATTGCTGCACCTGATTTGAGTTCCAGTAAGTATGCTTAGAAGAACGGCAACTTTTGAGTTAAGAATGAGTCTCTTGGGGGCATTATTTGCAGTTTGGAGACCAGTTTAGAGATGGCATATCTGCACCTGATCTGAAAAGGCAAAGCTTTCACTCAGTAAATAAACAGCAGTTGCTCTTGGGGCCTGAGGGGAGGGGCTTTGAGCGCAAGATCCAAATAGCCAGAACTGAAAGGTTGTTCGAAGTGCATGACTGACTTTGTAGCATAACTCAGATAATAACTGAGTTATCTCGGTGTTTAAAACAGTAATTTGTCCTGCCAGATTTTCAGTACTAAGCAGAGAATAGGAAAGACCACATTTTATATTAATTAACAGTAGAAAGCCTACACACTTTGTGAGACAGTTAATAGCAGTATTTTACTGGTATGCATCCTCTTGGTGTTCTCCTTAGATCAGGGATATGCATCCTTTACATGGACTCCCCCCCTCCCCCGCGGGAGGTGTATTTAATTCTATATACTATATTAGCAACCATAACCTGGCACTGTAGTGTAACTGCATTGTGGATCTGTAACTTTCCTTGGGGCTTTCCTACTAGTATGTTGCACTTTTAAATTTACTCTAAGGAAATAAACATTAAAAGGCTGGAAAACACAAGAAAGGATCTGGAAGAGAGTAATGTCATGAAAAATCTCAGCAAACTTCCCTGAGTGAGAAATCACAAGAGCATGATAAAGTCCTCATGCAGAAAAGTCCTTCAGGGCTTGGGTTTAGAATCTTCTCCTTTCGGTGGAAAGTTCTTGATCCAGCAGAGATTTTTCCACTGCTCAGGAGGAGGAGGCGGTGGCGGCTCCAGTGGCGGCAGTCTTTCCCAGTTTTTTCTCTTAGGTCTCCTGTGCCCCTGCTCCCTGATCTGTTCCAAAGGATCGGGGTGATCCTCCCGAACACTGTGGGAGGGGCTGCTGGGGGTGGCACAGGGAGGGGGAATTGAGGAAGTTCCTCTCGCTGCACTTTTCCTATTGGCTGCAACTCTGTTAGTGGAAGCCCACTCAGGGACTGCTGCTGCTGATAGGAAAGGAAAGCTGAGTTCAATCCACTGTGTGTAAATCTGAACAGACACCTGGTGCGCCAGTCCAAGAAAGTGTACTACCATTGTAGCTACAGTGGCACCTCGGCTCACAAATGCCTCAGTTCATGACCAAATCGGCTCGTGAACAGAAATTTCAGAAAAATTTTTCCTTGGGTCATGAACTCTGCATTAGGTGATGTTCACGATTGCGCCCACCTTCCCTGCACGGGTGCAATCGCGGTCATGCTTGCGGGGGGGGGTGGGGGAGATGGCCGAGATTGCACCCGTCCTCTCTGAACAAATGCGACTGTGATCACGCCGGTCTATGGCCACGATCGCGATCGCACTAGTGCAGGGAACACGGGTACAATCGTGATCGTGCTGGGGAGGGGGGAAGGCCATGATCTTTGTTGTTCTTTGTCACTTTACTTCAAATTTTTGTGATTAAAAAAAATAGTTACCGAACGGATTAACCTTATTTACATTGAACGTTATGGGGAAATTTGACTCGGTCATGACAAATTTGGGTTGTGACCAAAGTCCTGGAACAGATTAAGTTCGTGAGCCAAGGTACCACTGTATATCACTCATGTCACCTGGAGTTGCTGTGGCAGTTTTACAATCTGAGAAGTGTTTTAAGCCTGGCCTACACATGCAATAAAATGGATAGGACAGGACACATTGCTTTAGATTATAGGTTGGTGATAAAATTTTTGAATGCTTCCTCAAGTGAAAAAAAACCCCAATAAAAGGATACCCTCAAGAAGAAAACTAGCACACACCAAAGTCTCTAGTCCATTGCATCTCCTGATCTGCTAGATTTTTACTTACAACAGGATGTTTTACTTTGAGAATGTCCACACTAACAGTCCAAAGTTATACAGTCCATTTTACCCTTTCACCTTTCTGTGACTTCATTCTGCTCCATATGCATGTGTGTGTATGTGTGTGTGCATGAACATCTGTGTAGATCCAGCCCAGGACATAATACAAAATGGGGTGGCAAACTGAGGTGGCAGAATTCTGGACAGGATAAAGTATTTGAAAGTGCAAAGGTATTTGTACAAAAGTACACATATTTTTGAAGGGTCCCTGTAAACAATTTTGTAAACAAATATGTTGTAAACTAGCCCACCAGAAAAAACTCTCTCTGTCTTTGTCTCTCATGTGCTAGCTTACTACATGCTTACACAGTAGTTTGAGCTGGTTCATCTCAGAGGCCTGTTACTTTCTTCTACCTATGTAATGTGGAGGTTGGCTCTGATTGAGGGACATCTATGGGCGTTGGTTACACGAGCCACCCTCTGATACCCGAGTCCTTGCCTTAGCCATTTCAGTAGCACTTGCACTGGGCTCTTTGAAGTCCAGGGGAGCCCAGAAGAGGATTTCTTCATTCCATCACTGTCAGTTCACTGAATTGGGGCAACTGACTCAAACAGGAAATTATCTTCAGGTCACAAACACATGGCTCCAGATAAGCAGTTTGTTTGTGTAAATAAAATTGTAACTGTGACTCCGGGTAAAAGGCAGTTATCACACTGCATCTCTTCTCATGGGAAAAAATCCCTCTGGACGAATTCCAGTTTCTAGACTTCTTTGTCACCCTATATGTGAACATTTCACTTTTGCAGAGTGACTCTTTAACTGGTTTCAATATCTCCTTTGAACCTAACTCTGTATTTAAAAAGACAACATAAAATGTGTAGCATGCATGGAATTGCTCCTTTTCCTAGGAAAGAGCAGCTTGGGAAGGAGAACTTGTGAGGAGAATTGAGGTGGTACATGAGCACAGCTTTTCTCTAATAGCCTCTTTGATGCTCTAACTCACAGCATCCAATTCCCTTTTTGCCCCTTTCATTGTCCTCTCCAAAACCCATATTTCAAACTCCCCCCTGGGAAAAGTAGTGGTGGATTCAAGACAGGGAAGGGGCTAAGTATGCCCTCATCGTCATAAAAAAACCTCATCATAGCTTCTTTTCCAGAGTTACTTTTCTTAGCAAAATCAGTCTTTGGGCTTGGGTTTCTACTCGTCGTGTTTTAAATGTGGGCTACAGGTTTAGGAAATAAGGCTATAGAGCTTAACAAAGATTTTGGCAATTGATTGATGGCCTTAGATCAATCTCTGAACATGTTTCTTGCACACCTATCGAGTACGGACAAACCAATTGCTAGCAGTTTATTTATATAAGAGCTTCCAGAGTCCATTACATGCTAATGCAAGCAAGAAGCAGACTGGAAGGGGCAAGTAAGTAGTGGAACATGCATACAGGAACTGGCTCAGCCTTCTGGTGTCCACTGAGTTCTCCAGGCCAAAGTGAAACAAAGTGCAATTGGGAAGCAGGTGAGAAGGGAGAACCAGACTCTTTCTCCAGACATGGACATAGCAGGGGCAGGAGTAGGTTTAACTGTCACCCCAACTCAAGAGAGAAGACTCCACTCATAGAAGCCCTCTCTGCTTGATCTTGAAGGACCCCCCCCCCCCTTTTCTCAGAACAGCAGAGCAGCAACTCCTGATTCTCTGTGTAGTATTTTTGGGGCAGAGGGGTAGGTGGGTGGGTGGGTGGGTGACAGAGCTCCTGTGGGAAGGAGCTGGTGGGGAAGTCCATTTTCTCCAGTGCAGTTGATCCAGCTTAAATTTGCAACCATCCGTTTATCTCGCATTTGTCTTCATCTGTGATTGCACCATTAGTTCATTTGGTGCAAATATAAATAGGACTTTTTAATCATATAAGTGTAGGTTGCAGTTCCACCCTTGTAAAATTAAGATTTACAGCCATGATGAAATGATAGTGACAGGCGAGAAGTGTTTTTAATATTGCTTCCCAATGGTACTGAAGCTATGAAAGCAAACAAGGCGTTTGGGCCAGCGTAACAGTGCAATGCTCTTTCTGCTCCTAAGCTGCTGCTTTTTTGTTTTTCTGCTTCAGAGATTCAGACCTGTTTTTGCTGGACACGAGAGCAGTATGGGCCTCAGAAGAAGGCTGGCTAGAGTTTGATATCACTGCCACCAGTAACATGTGGGTGATAAACCCTCAGCATAACTTGGGACTCCAGATGAGCGTGCTGACCAGGGATGGTAGGTAACAGGCCAACATACTTTAAACATCTGGCCAATGACCTAGTCATTAATTGGAAGCTATGTTTATAGCATTCAGCTGTGATGTGATGCTCTGGCTAAGACAGCCAAACACACAGCTGTGATGGGACCGTCCAGCTCTGGAACAAGCTGCCCGGATTGAAAGCTGCTCCTCGCCTCCTGCTTGCCCCACGTCTGTAGCTGTAAAATACTGGGAATGCCTTATTGTGGATGCTGTCTTTTGTCAAGGTACTCACTTGACAGGCGTTTTTGTTGAAGGCCCACAGGGCTCTCTGTGCGGGGGTGTGCTGGCGTCTTTGTGGAGGCCGACACAAGCCCTTTCCCTGGGTGCTCCCATCTCAGTCCAGCTTTCGTCCATCTCCTGACTGTGTCATTCCTCTCCTTGGGGTGCAGAGCTGATGCAGTGCCGCATCACCGCTCTTCGGCTTCCATGCCTGATGCAACGGTGGAAGTGAACATGTGCTGCATTGCTGGGTGTTCTCCCATCATGCTCCTTTTCTTTCATAGCAGGCCAGTGATCTTTGTGGGCCATTGGAGACATGGCTCATCTTCCACTAGAACTGGGGACTGTTCCCCCTGACGGAAGCAAAGCAAGTGGTGCTGACTCCTGCTCAGCTCAGATCATTGCCTCATCCAGTCTAATATAATCAACTCGGACAGGCAGTGGTTTTCCAAGGCCCACTTATTGAAGTGAATCATTACTCTGCCTAGTGCCATTGCTGGAAAGGTTAGAATAAATTGAAAATATTGCAGAATAAATTACACTGGACAAGAAGAACTATATGGAATAAATGAAATAGGATGCCAATGTAGGCATGTGCAACTGACGCCCGCCCATGCCACCCCTCCAGTTCCCCTTTCCAATGCTGTGCAACGGATTGGGGAATTCTGCTGGATGCATTGGGGGGGGGCATGGCGTGGGGAGCAGCAGCATCCCTGAAATTCAAGTGTAGGTCCCTTTCTTGAGTGGAGCCACAGAAGGCAGATCCTGGATCGAACATTGTCCAGATCCTGAATCCAAGCCAGGTTGCAGCCTATCAACCTGCAGTATTTGATCACATTTCTATATTTGACTCACCTGCAGTATTTATACAGCTCCCAGTTTTGGTTTTATCAGCATGCTTTGCATATGACGAGTGCAAAGACAGAAGGCCCAGTTGCAGCCATTGTGTGTTTGTGGCATTTGCAGTGTTACAGAAGCAAGGCTTGTGAGCTTTCACTGCAAATTGGAATATCCTATGATATTAGCTATCGAGGAGGGTGGATGGGCAGGGGAAAAACCCAAGGAGGGGCAGCAGAAAGTTCCTTGTAGGAAAGCAGCTGTGTTGCTCAAAAGAGCTATTCAGAAACACTGTGCTCTTTATATGACATACCACTTTTTCGTTTAATTTATAGGTCTCAGTATAAACCCTAGAGAAGCAGGACTAATAGGTCGAGATGGCCCTTATGACAAACAGCCTTTCATGGTGGCTTTTTTCAAAGTGAGTGAGGTTCATGTTCGAACTGCTAGGTCAGCTTCCAACAGGCGCAGGGAGCAGAGTCGAAATCGCTCCACCCAGCCTCAAGATGTTTCCAGGGTATCCAGTATTACAGGTAACCTCTTAAATGCCTGCTGTGCCATGTGGAAATAAAATACTCTTTCTGATGCTTCTTAGCTATCATTCCGTGCCATTCACTTCACATTCATGAAGTGCTTTCAGTGCATATCTCTTTTTCTCTTTTTCTTTCACTAAAGTAAAATAATAGTCTAAAGGATTTCACTGACCCTCAAAAAATGTGTTGAGGATGTCTTAACTCTCTTGAGTCCTATATGTCGTCACTGTAGCGTTTCAGTGCCATGTGCAAGGGAGTTCCCCTGTTGCATCGGCTGTTGCAAGGCAGAAGATGACACCATCCATGAGCCTTGTAAACTTGGGTAGAAGAAGGGATTTTTTTTTGGCAGGTTGCAGCTTAACATGCATAAGTAAGAGCTGGACTGCCCAAACTTACACTTCTGTATGCCTCTTGAGATGTCTGCCTTGGTTCTGATAAGCACTTGCATCCCATAATATGCTGTGATAATTTTTCTTATTTACAGCATATTTCTGTGCATGTGTCTCATCAGAATTGAGTTCAGTGAGGATGTGTACATAGGAGTGCAGCTTCAGTCTGAATCAAGCTACAGAAAAAAATACGGAGATCATTAATTCTCTTCTTAAATGGTGTATTTTAGCTGTGTCTTCGTTCCATGGGAGGAGGCTGTGTGGGATTTTCACAGCTTGTTGCGGGGGTGGTGGGGTTAAAATGTCAAGTGAGCCAAAGCTATTTCTGGGCTTCAGAGGCAAGACATGAAGATGCTGAAGAAGCAGCTTTTTAAAATCTTACCGAGCAACTGGCCTCTTTGTAGGGATTTGTTTGTTTCTTTAAGGAGCCAAAGAATGGTGCAATTGAAGAATTGTGCAAGGGTGCACCTGGATACTCAAATCATTCCCCAAACCCATGGCTCTCCAGGTGCATTAGAAGACAACTTTTGTCATGGCCACTGGCCACATTTATTTGGGCTGAGAGGACATGCGATCCAGCACTTTTGAAGGACACGAGGTTGGGAAGACTGACTTAAAGTTTTCTGCAACATACTTGCATTTACTGGGTTTACCTTCGACAGGCTTTTAAAAAGTGCCTATTTTAGATTAGAGCTTTTTACCATTAGCGTACTCCATGAATTGCATGTGAATTCATAAAGGCTGAGGGTTGCTGTCATGTAACAACATAGATTCTCCTGCAAGCAGGGTTGTGGTGTAAGAGAAATATCTCTCTGATGTGTTGTGCTGCACAATCTTTGGCATGTTTACTTGGAGAAAAGCCCAGTAGTGTTAATTAGAGCTGATTTTCTGGTAAGTGTGCATAGGATTGCCACCTTGACCATTAACATTATAATTTCTATTTGGAAAAAGAAGTAGTCATTGAAGCTTTCAGTTTAGTCTGAAGTGCCCATTTGTATTTATCAGCAGTAGAAGTGAGATAACTGTAGTTATACCTGTTGTCATCTATTGCTTGAACCCATGATCTACATTTCACAAGGGGAATTTTTTTGCTTGTAGAAGGTCCCTTTATCTGGCATAGTGACCACAGTGTTATTCTGGGATGCCAATCTCCACATGGCAATGAAGCTCACTTTGGGCCAGTCACAGACTCTCGACCTAACCTGCCTTGCAGGGTTGTTGTTGTGAGAATAAAATGGAGTGGAGGAGGACATCGGACTTCCTTTGATGTCATATGAGCATAGAAGCCGTCTTACACAAGGCCAGCATCGTCTGCACTGACTGATACTGACTGGGTTCACATGGCACAGCAGCCCAACCCACTGTGGGTAATTATGTCATCTGAATTTGCATCACTTTCTACTGGATGGCTTCTTTTGTGGCAATCCATGTGTTGTTAGACCCACAATGGGCTGCTGTGTTGTTTGAATTTTGTTGTGGGTCCATAGAATTGCAAGCGAGCTGCTTGGAAAAAGCAGGAAAAAGAAACAACAACATGAAAAACATGCAGCTGTGAAATAGGCCTATTTCCTTGTCAGCAAATCTTGTTTAGTCTTATGGAAAAAAACCTATTTTAAAATAAACCCTGAATGGGGTAGAATGTTTCATTCCTCTTTTCTTCATAACTAGGTAGAGTGGGAAAGATGGAAGACAGTGGAACCGTAAGCGCCATCCTTCAAAACTACAAGACTTTGATGTGAAGGGGGTGATGCACTTGCCACCCACTTCCGCAAGCAAAAATCTTTTGGCAACGTTGCTTTTTGCTTAATAGCGCAACATTTGACAACTGTCAAGGGAGGAGCAAACTAAGAAAAGAACCTATTTGCAGTCTTGCTCAATTGCTCTCCCTGGTTGATACTGACTCTTCTTTGGCAGCAAGCACCTCCCATGATATTGAATAGGCAAGACTTTCCCTTTCAGTTCCACTGCCAAACTATTGGTAAATAAATAAATAAATAAATAAATAAGGACATATTTGCATATATTCTTGGTGCCTAAAAAATATTACAAAACAGGTGGCCACCCTGGTGTGCTAGTGTTAGCACCTCAAATGTGCTGCTTGGGCACTTTGGACATGTTGTCAGAGATCCCAGTAAGATAATGAAAGGCCAGGGGAGGAAAAATGCTATGGGGCGATGGAGCAGAATGGGGAAAAGAGCAGTCCCCAGGTTACTTGCAGGAGGACTGAGGAAGAAAGAGAGGAAGGACACCCTGCAGTGAAACTGATCATCTGTCAGACACATTGTAGGTGAAGAACTCATGAAGAACCCACACTGCATGGGGCTGCCATGTTGTGCAAGCTCAGGGCACCTCAGATTGAATTTGTTCGACTTGCCTGCTCTAACACTTTTTTTTTAATTTAAAAACAGAGATATCAAGGACTGAGCCTTGGGACTTTCTTGCAACATATGCCACCCCTATCGCTGAGCTGTGGTCACTTCTTAAATGTCATCTATTTATGTGCAGTGTGCTGTCTGTGTCATCTCTAAGCCCAGAATGGTTCAGTTAGAAACTGGACAGTTTTGGATCTAGCTCATGTTCTTCAAAAGCTAGCTGGTGGGAAGAAACTAGACAGAGGCAAAATAGTAATTATTGCTCATCTTCAGAGCCAGAGAAGGAGCAAGGCTGGGCAGTGCAAGTCAGGAAAAGAATTGGTGTGGATAAGATGGCTAATCCCATGGGACATTCACAACGTTTTGGGTGTTAAGGCGTTGCCACCAATTCTAAATCCCCCAACAGCCTTCTCTATGTTGTGGATTACTCCAGAAGAATTTCAAAGCAGTCTTTCTTCTCGCAGCCTCTAACCTCAGGAGAGAAGGGACAACAGAAACTTGCATCTATGTTGGCATTTTTCTTGCTTCTTTGTCAAGGGTATATTTGAGTGTACTTAGGTCTGGCATGTCATTAGCTTGTCCTTTCTGACTCTTGTATATTTAGTGGGTTATTATTAACTGCACAGTCAGTTTACATCCGCTGTATTCGGGCCAATCACCTAACTCAAACATTGAGAAGAGGGCATGGTAGGGAGACTTTCTTCCTGATGCGCACTGGCTATTAATTGAGGAATCTGAAGACTGGGCACTCCAGGAATAGTCAGTGTATTTCAGAGGGGGTTAGTTTCAGTAAATATTGGCTATCTGTTGTCAGGGTCCGTGACTGGGATGTGAGCAGCCGGAGAGGAGCAGAGGCACCAGGACCAGGGCAGTAGAACTTCAGGAAAGACAGAATCCACAAATCATAGTCCTGGTGCAGGCCAAGGTCAGGAAGCAGAAGAAAGCATGAGGGCAGAACAAGGACGTGGTCAGGTACAAGCCAAGGATTGAGAACTAGGCGGACAAACAGAGGTGCAGGTGGCTTGGACAGGATAACAGGGTGGGAGACACAGCACGGCAGGTGACACAGCAAGGCAAGGTACATGAAACAACAGCAACCAGATGCAGCAATGGTCAGGCAGATGCGGGAACTGAACCACAGCTCGCGGTTAAGTCTTGAGTTACTGAGGCAACATAGTGAGGCAGGATACATGGGCAAGGCAAGTTATAGGTGAGGTGAGAGGAGGCACAACAGCAAACAGGCAAACCTATGTTGCTGGCACAACATGGCAAGGCCGGAGACACAGCAAGATGGGGTGCAAGATACACAGCAGGAACCAGGAGTAGAAAAGGTCAGGCAGAATGCAACATGGCAGCAAGCAGAAGGAGCTGGGCTGCTGAGGCAACAGGGAGATGCAGAAACCAGGAACAGTCAGGAAAGGAGCAGGAGCTACAGAAGGATCTATGTTGCTGAGGCCAGCTCTGGTGCGAAGAGCTTGCTCTTATGTCGCTCTTCCCCCAGGTCTCCCTCCTGGTGCTTATCCGTGTGCTCAGCAGGGCTTGGGACTGATCCTATGAATACAGTGATAGCTGTTCTGATTCTGGCCACCAGAGCAGCCCAGATCCTGACATCTTTTTAGCTATACTTTCAAGTAGGAAGGAGTTTCAAAAAATCTTTGAGGAGGAGGGAGGAGGAGTATTTGAAGTAGCTGCCTTTAACCAAGTCTTCTTAAGTCTGGTGACTTTGAACATGCTAGATGCAGATGATGGTAATTGTAATGCAGCCTAGCTAGAAGGTTCTAAGTTGGGGAAGATCCCCCGAGTACTGAAATGTCATGGAATCATAGTAGAGTTGGAAGGATCCATAAGGCCATTGTCTAATTCCCTGCTCAGGTTAAAGCATCCTTGGCTGAAGGGTGTCTAATGGATGTCCAGCTGCCCCTTGAATGCCTCCAGTGTGGGAGAGCCATGACCCTCCCCTCAGTGGTGTAGTGGCAAATTTAGAAGTGGGGAGGGGTCCCTTCATGACGGTCAGAGCAGCATCTCAAAGCCATGCCCCCAAGCCACACCTATTTCCAAAATTATTCAACCTATGATTATACAATAAAAAGGAGTTTTGTACTTGGTTTGAATTTCTGTTGAGTAATGGGTGCAAGATGAAGGTATCTCTTTTTAAGGGGAAACAATGACAGCTTCTAGAAGTTATTTCAAACTCTCTTATTGATAATGAAGGAAAGATTTTTTAAACTAAGATCATGGCATCTGGTCCCCTCACTTCCTGGCAAATAGATGGGGAAGAAATGGAGGTAGTGACAGATTTTATTTTCCTGGGCTCCAAGATCACCGCAGATGGGGACTGCAGCCAAGAAATTAAAAGATGCTTGCTCCTGGGGAGGAAAGCGATGGCAAATCTAGACAGCATACTAAAAAGCAGAGACATCTCCCTGCCAACAAAAGTGCGTATAGTCAAGGCTATGGTTTTCCCAGTTGCAATGTATGGCTGGACCATAAGGAGGGCTGAGTGCCAAAGGATTGAGGCCTTTGAATTGTGGTGCTGGAGGAAACTCCTGCGAGTCCCTTGGACCGCAAGGCGATCAAACGGGTCAGTCCTAGAGGAGATCAACCCTGACTGCTCTTTAGAAGGCCAGATACTGAAGATGAAACTCAAATAGTCTGGCCACCTAATGAGAAGGAAGGACTCCCTGGAGAAGAGTCTAATGCTGGGAACAATAGATGGCAAAAGAAGAAGGGGACAGCAGAGAATGAGGTGGTTAGATGGAGTCACTGAAGCAGTTGGTGTGAGCTTGGGTGGACTTCGGGGGATGCTGGAGGACAGGAAGGCCTGGAGGAATCTTGTCCATGGGGTCGCGATGGATCGGACACGACTTTTTATCGTGCTCTCATTGGATCCGTGCTGAATCACGTGTAAAGCAGCCTAACTGAAGTAAGGAGGACTTAAGGCTAATGGCTAATTTTTCCCATTGATTTCAGTGAATATGCTCCAATTATGAAACCATTATTCCACTTGAGCCATTATTTCTCCAAATATTTGTGGGGCTAAGAGTAGCTAGAAAACACCTATTTGCTTCAGTCAATCAATCCCTCTTCCCAGGAACTCAGGAAACTGCACCTCTCTGCATGAGGAAGAGGTATCTACTAATGACAGTCAGTACCTTTGACAAACTACGGTCCCCAAGATACTTTGGGGAAGGAATGACCAGTTGAAGTGGCATGAAAGTGTTCTAAATGTGTGGTGTGAATGAAGTGGGAGGGGAGGTAGTTTTTGGAGCAGCCGGGGCAAGCTGGCCACATCTTGCTGAGCAGCAGAGGCTGCCCGTGAGGGAAAGGGTCGCAGAAGACACCTGTGCATGCCTGGCAGGCCCCTCCGGATAGGGAGTTCCCAGGAACTGTTGGGAACTGTCAAAAAAACCCCCCTCTTCTTCATCTGTTAAATTCAAGACTTGGAGACAGGGGCAGCTGCCAGTCATGAACCAGCAAAATTAAGTCTCTTGCGTGGTGGTGGGAGAGGGGCAGTGACCCTGGTTTCAGGGATATATGACAGCCCCTGAACACAGTCTGCACAGTTTTGTGAAGGCTGCATTTTAAAAACCAGTATCTTACAAGCTAAGATTTGCTCAGGTGCCTTCAGTGGCGTCTGCCGCAGATGCATGTTAGCCTCCGAACTCAGGCACTTTCTGCATTTCTGAGGGAGGCAGGTGGCCCAGGGCTCCATGGCTGCACCTCCTTGTGATGCACCTTTCGTCTAGGTGGCTATTTTTGCTCACCTGGAGGAAGCACTGGAGAGGGTGTGGAAAGGAGACTGGGGCATGGCTAGGAATCAGACCCCTGCCACACCCTCCCCCCCCAAGCCCCACTTGTGTCCTTGGAGGGGGGCAGGGACATGGGGGTCCCAAAACATTTGGTGCACATCAGGGTTGTAGTCTGAGTCTTTAAGTGGCGGATTTGGAAATCAGCCCTACATGAATTTGAAGTGCTTTCTGTTGTCCAACTTTGTTTTCCTCTTGCAACAATTCCTTGCATATTCAGGTACAACAGGGAAGATTTCCAACCTTCCCTTCCTTAAGATATGCTTGTTTTCCAAGTGCAGGAAGCACTGGGTGTTGTTTTGAACATGGATAGGATTCCTCCCTCCCCACCACTGTAACTTGAACTGCACCATGCAGTTGTCCAGATTGTCCATTTCAGCAACTGCTTGAACCGAAAACATGAGAAACACTCTCTGCAACAATGCTTTTCACTTCTGGTCAAACACATGCGACCTTGATTTGAAAACAAAAAGCTGGCCTAGAAAAATAATCCTCATTTTTAGTACAAAATTACTGGTGTGGGAGTGCAGCTAGTTAACCAATTTCAGGTTGATTACAGTTGTGATTAAAGAAAAACTTTTTGAAGATCTGAGATCCAGTTCCTAACATTGAAAGAAGTTAAAACACTGAATTATTTACAATACTTTTTTTTTTAAGTCTGCTAATCTCTTGTGGCTTTGAGGTTAGGTTTGTTTTGAGGGAGAGTGGACATCAACACTAACTCTACCCAGCTGTAACACCGTGCTCTCTTGGATGAGCATTTGTATTATACTTCTTTTCTTTTAAATAAATATTTGCTGTTTTTTAAAGGTTCCTCCAGAGTCCAGGAAATAAACACTATTTTCCTATCCAACTTGCTGTATCTAAAAAGCTGTTTCAGATCTTTAGCTGGTACAGCTGGTACAGCTGAAAGCCCTGGTTGCCCTGTGGAGTGCAGATGACTTGGGCCGTTGACTCGAGTCTCAAGTACTCGCTTCCTCCGAGCACAGCCCCGGCAAGGCCTGGCTATACCTGAAGCAAGAGGGAGGACAGGTCGAATGCAGGTGGAGGAGGACTTGTGTTGTGTCCAACCAAACACCGCTTAGAAGTCCTTAGCAAGCTGAATCTGTAGCAACAAGTTTGGCAAAAAGGGGAGTTCTTTCTCACCAGCAATGTCTTTTATCAGTGTTGGCCCGGGAAGCGCTTCCAGCCTTTTGTAATTCAGGCCAGGAAGTGGGTGGCCACTGAGATGAGATTGCATGACTCTGTGAAGATAAAATTGCGTGCATTTGTCATGACTTGGGCAGTTCCATTATTAGGGGTGCCCAGAGTACCATCTGGTTCAGTTTTATCAAATGAGTTTCAGTAGTTGAAGCCCAGTGATGAAGGCAATATCCTTGGACAAGTCTGGTCAATCACCTGACCCTTTTCTGTCATGATTTATTCCATTTAAGAAGGAAGGAAAGCATATCTAGCTGAATTCAGGATTTTGTCCTTGAGAGAGGGAGATGTGCTCCCGCTTGCCTTGAAGGAAGAGGTTATTAGGCCATTCCCAAAAAAAGCCTAATGTAGACCTCGAAGATATTAGCACCTCTAGGTCAGTCACAAAGAACCCGTTCTTTGGCAAAGTGCTTGAGCAGGTGGTTGCCGCCCAGCCTTGCATGAAACTGATTCTTTAATTGCAGTTGGGCTTTATACCTGATTTGGAAAGGAAGCTGCCTTGGTTGCTTGGTGAGCTTTTGTAGGAGAGGGATAAGGACCCCCCAGAGGTTTTCAATGCCATTGAGCATGGTATTCTTCTGGTTAGGCTACCTGATCTGGCTGTAGAAGGTCCTGCACTGCAGTGGTTCTGCTTCTGCTTGGATGGTTTAGTTTAGATGGTGGTGCTGGGGGTTGCTGTCCTTTGGTAATTGTAGCATGGAGTACCCCAGGGCTTTTCCAACATTTACATGAAATTGTTGGGGAGGTTCTCCAGAGATATGGACCAGCCCTATCTCTCCTTCAGATCAAACCCAGGTGAGACAGTAGGCATTCTGAACCAGGCCTTGATGTGGAAATGGACTGGATGAGGACCAATACACTTTGACTCAATTCAGATAAGATGGCAGTACTGTGAGTGGGTAGGTCTTCTGCCCAGCTAAGTGATGTTCACCTTGTTCTGCAGGGGGCAGCACTCCCCCTGAAGGATCAGGTTTGTAGTTTGGAGGTGGTCCTAGAGTCAGCATTTTCACTAGAGGAACAGATGGACTTGGTGGAATGGAGCACCTTTTATCAGCTTAAACTGATACATCACCTATGTTCTTATCTGGGGATAGTCTCGTTATAGTTCTCCATGCTCTGGATTTCATCTGGATTAATGCAGTGCATTATGCATGGCACTGCCTTTGAAAGTGGTCCAGAAATACTAGCTGGTCTAAAACAGAGAAGCAAGATTGCTAACAGGGCCTGGCCAATGAGACCACACATAATGTTATTTTTCCTTCTGTGTTGGCTGTCAGTCTATCTCTGGGCCCCATTGAAAGTGCTGGTATTAATATTTGGAGACCTAAATGACTTGGGAACAGGTTATTTGAATATCTGTATACACCTCCATATACACCTGTCTAGACCGTAAGTCAATGATTCTTCTCTGGGAGTGAAGTTGGTAGCTATTAAGAATGTAAGCTCAGAGTATGTAGCAGCTGAGCAGCTGCAAGCTGTTACGAGTAACAAGGGACATTTGGACACTCTTGAGACTTTAAGCTGTGGTTGCTTAAGGATTGTATTCCAGACTTTGAAAATTCAGTGATGCTTAGTTAAGACCTCATGTAGAATATTGCTTAAGTCTTAACAGAACATTAATATTATATTTCCAAAGTCTGCAGTGCTTCAGTTTTCATGACCATAAGACCTGAGAGTGCTGGAGTGTTGCAATTCAAATAGAAACTTTACAATAAGAAAGGATTTCATTTTCATCATTTCATTAAGTTTTAAGCCACAAAACATCTTCTACCATATCTCTAATTATATATTTGTGTGTGTGTTTTTTAATTATTTCTTGACAGATTACAACAGCAGTGACCTAAAAACCGCTTGCAGGAAGCATGAACTTTATGTTAGCTTTCAAGACTTGGGATGGCAGGTATGTGGTGATTCTACCTCCGTAGACACGGTCTTCTAAAACAATAGAATATTGAAAAAGGTTTCTTTTTACTACACCAAGTCTTGTCGCACAGAAATACAGCTCTACATTCTTCCCCCCACCCCTAGAATTGCTACTCAATTGAACACTCACAATGATCTCGTAATTAGTTTGGATATAATAGTAGACTACATCCAGTACACTAATGACATCAAGGTCTAGGTGTGTGATTTATCTTTCTTGGTAGGATATGCTCAATACTTACTTTTTTATCAACTTGGGGTTTTTTTTACTGCTGCTGTTGCGTGTTGGTCAATCCAGTTTTAAGACTTTTTTGAATTTGGCGTGTGTTTGCAGCCCTGTAGTCACTAAGGATAGCTTTTCTAACTGTTTTAATTCCTTTTTTATATTAACAGATTATTGAGGTTTTGTTACTGGTTTAACTGGATTAAATAATAGCTCATTTCCTTTTTTTTCTTACTCTGGTGGTCTCCACTGTGACCAGAGAATACTGTGTATACATGCATTCCTCATGCAGTTTTGTCCCATGAGATGGGTATTAACTGATACAGTTCAGGGTGGCTCTTTAAACTTTGGGGCTTGTCATAACTTTTAAGCTGTCCCTGCTTTTTGCTAAATATGGCTTCCATTTTGACATACTGTATCAATCAACAGTGGAATCAAAATGGTTCAAGTTTGGTTATGTTTTGGGGGAAAAAAACTTTGGAAAAGTTTCTCTGATTTTGTATACGGCCTGAATTATTTCCTATTCAAAGGGCATACTTGGTAACAGGTCAAACATATTGTAGCATGATCTAAGCAATTTATGGGACCCACCACAACAGTGGCTTAATGGGTAATCTATCCTAATCACATATTACCGCATGTTCCTGTCTGTATATGTATGTCAGGCACGCACTGGTCCGCACACTGGGGGCAGAGAGAGGGAACAACTGGAAGATCAGAATTACATGCATGAAAACAGCATGTATAGGAGAGGGAAGGAAAATTCAATGATATTGATTCATGCCCTAAATTAATATCTTGGCATTGTAGCCATGACAAGCTGAAATCAGTGTCTTTCTGAATGTTTTAGTGGATGGGGCATTTTATGAGGGATGAACCCAGCTTGAACTTTCCTATGATGGTGTATCAATGGAATTATCAATACCAACAAAATAATGAAAATTTTGAAGGAATTTATTATACTTTCTACCATTAATATATTCTAACTGTTCCTAGAATAATGCTCAAAACAATGAAAGCTGCAGGTATGACAGAGCAGCTGTAATACACATACTTTTGGCACTGCACTAGGAAAACCTTACCATTATTAATAGTAAATATTGTAAAATGTGACATTCTTGTTGTTAAGGACTGGATAATTGCACCAAAAGGCTATTCGGCGAACTACTGCGATGGAGAATGTTCTTTTCCACTCAATGCCCACATGAATGCCACCAATCATGCCATTGTGCAAACCTTGGTAAGTATAATCCTTGGTTTAGCCCCATTACTAATCCCAGGGCCCAGCTATATATGAGCTTAGTTCAAATCCCAGGACAGCAATAGGGACAAGCACAATGAGGACATGCAAAAGCTTAACGCTCTTCTCCTTTACCATAATTGCAATTGAAACTCTACAAACTGCTCTTAGTCCCAGGAGGGAGGGCATCATTCATTCCAGTGGGAGCTGTAGACCAAAACGTCTGGAAGGTCCCAAGTTGCCCAACCCCATTATAGATACTGCTTCAGGCTTCTCAGAAAAAGGCTCAGGTGCAAATGCAGGTTATACATGTAAATGAAAATTTAAGTAAGATTTGGGCTGAAGCTACAGAAAGATAATGCTACCATTTTCTTTGAACAGGTTCATCTAATGAATCCGGAGAATGTTCCTAAGCCATGCTGTGCCCCTACAAAACTTAATGCAATATCAGTTCTTTATTTTGATGACAATTCCAATGTCATTTTGAAAAAGTACAGGAACATGGTGGTAAGAGCTTGTGGGTGTCACTGACAAGGAGATCTTTAAAGATGGATCTCGCGTATGCTTTTCAAAATGACTTCCATCCAGTGCCTCAAAGGGAAAATCTAACAGTGTTTGTGCCTTAAGAAGGAATTTTAAAAAGCATGGAACTGCAATGCTACTTGTTAACTTCTAAAGTGCTTGCACAATGCTGTCTACTTTTGAGTGTGCCAGAATAAACTGAAAGTATGGATCATGATAACGCAGCAAGAGGTATAGACAAAAGCCATCCTGTTGTTTGATCTGCAGTTCATTCTTGCTAAGCAAGCATTCGTCAAATCCCATTCAATCGCACAAGGAAAAGAAGAGTTTGTGATTGTGCATGATTCAAGGCATGATTCACCCACACCTACAGCCAATCCAATCTATCCTTGCTTAGCTTTAAAGGATGCAAGAGAGCCTGAGAACCTGATTCGTGAGCACCTTGATCATGGAAGCATTTTGCATTGGAGAAACCTAGCAGCTAAAGTACCACCATTTGCTGTGTTTAAATGAAAATGTTGTGCCTGGCTTTTCAACAAGGAATGTAACTGGTAATGTGTCTTTATGGGCTGGCTGTCATAACATACAGTTTTGTCTTGTATTCCAGTGATAAAGTTATGGCTTTGAGAGCAATTTTTGGTGGAAAGGCAGAGTATCAATGAAATAAGTAATTGTTCTTTAGATTAACAGGAAAACCTTTGAAAGTTTGTTCTAAAGAAAATTTCTAGGCTTACATACCACAGTTCCATCCTGTTGCAAGTTATGGTCCAACTTTTTAAAGTACTGCCACTATCCCTACTAAGTGTGTGCTTGTGTGTGTATGTGTATACAAACTCTGGTTCTTCAAATGAACAAGAAAAAAGTATGTGCATAAACCATAATGAGCATACTCAAGAAACAGTTAAAACAGAAGATTATCAAAACACTGTCATATATATTTATATATAGATATAGATATATATTCATTCTTTTAATTTTGTGGCTTCTAGAAGGGGGAAGATGGATCTCCCCAAATACTGAAAACCTGGCTGAGGAACAGCAAGGCTTCCAAAGTTCTTCTGATCAGTGTATCGGGATGGGAAGTGATAGGCGATGCTGCAGGGCCAGACATGGAGATCGGCCTTGCACTTATGGAAGGGCTACATCACTACTCAGTCCCACTGGCCTAAATAAAACATGCAATGTGAGTTTATGGAGGTAAAAAAACTCGTATCTCTCCTTGCACTTGCCTATACCTTCTCAATGAGACCTACCTCCCAACTATGATGAACACAAATTGAAGGTGTGTATGATGCTTATTTCCGAGATTGGTTCCACATGAAGTATTTCCCTGAGGCAAGATTTCAGAAGTGGTTTTCCCTTTACTCTGCATTTTAAAAGGCTTTTGTAAATAAATTAAAGTTATGATTTATTGCAATTGTCAGATATATTAATTTTGATGTACTATTTAGCAAGACCAAGATTTCTTTTTGTAAAAAAAGATTTTATTCAGAAATAGTTCGTGTAAACAATTTGTACCACTTGAACTTTTACAAGAACTCATGAGTTACCATTCAGCCTGCTCATGAGATTGTGCTTCATTAGGTTTTTTTAAAAGTCATCTGAGTAAATGCTCCCTTGAAGGCAGAAACACGTGTGTTGATGTGATAAGACTGCCATGTGTTATTAGCCCTTTTGTTAAAATCCCCCTTTCACAATTTATGCTAGACATATTTCTTGGCTTTCAATAGAAAGGACAAGCTACAGTACAAAGATGAAAGTTGCATCTTCATCCAAGACAAATGGAAATCACATCCTTCTGAGTATCTGCATATGTATAAATCTGCAATACCTCCCCAAATAAATGGCAATAAATGTTTATATACAAACTAGAAAACCTTTTAGCATCTAGTTTGCTGTATTACTCTATCAGTACCTGTACTAAAAGTTCTTTGGCTTTAATTCTATCTGTCACATGGCATATTAAATCGGAAATGGGGCTGAGAGGATGGGAGAATCTGCTTAAAACTATAGGCCATCTGGAAAGGTTTTGTAGGTAAGTTTGATTCCTTTCCGTACCTTACTTGGAAGAAAATATATTTCAGGGACCCTGCTGCAACTCAGAAGAATTTAACTCTGGTTACTGTTCTGACCACTGGATGAAAAGAAGCATAAACATTTTAAAAAACAATTTTTTTAATTGTTTGGTCACCAAAATGAATATGTAAAAGGGCATAAAGAGAGCCGAATCGCTTTCCAAATTACTGAACAGGACTGTTGTGTTTTTCAGCTGTCAAAGCTACCTGAAAAATACCATGGTTTAAGAATGACCAGGCACACATAAGAGTACCTTTGCTTAATGTTGTACATCCCTCAGGATGAGAGAAAACCAGAACAGGAAGCAAGTAGCCAATAGTGATCAGGGGTACCTTCTCAAGTGTGTGTGTGTATTCCGTTTGAATTAACATTTTTAACCTGGTTTCTGATGAAAGGTCTTAAAAGGCTTTGATTCACCAGTATAGCAAAATTAGGTTATGTTGTGCAGTTCTGCCAGTTACATGCATTCAGCAAATTTCTAACCTGTGTAGCTTGCAGTGAAAATAATCTGCCATGACCCTTAATTTTAACCTTTTTTCTCTTTTGCTCATTTTGGTCCCTATGGGACCATTTACTTTTTCACTGCAAGACAACTGTAAGCTCATTAATGCAACCAATACTGCACATTTTCCCCATCTGAACAGTGAGTGCTTGTTGTAAGCGTCTCTCAAGGTCAGCACAGTGGGGGATTAGGAAATACAAACACACAGAGAGAAGATAACATAGTTAGCACACTCCTTTTCCTAAATTACCACTACTGGAAATCTGGTAACATTGCTATGATTCAACTTCCATGTTTACTGGACAGACACAGCCACAAAAGTGGTATCCAAGGTGCTCTTTTACAGTTCATCCTTTGTTTGCCGCAGAACAAAGTTATGGAGTGTTTCGAGATCCCTGGCTCCAGTATGTTCACTCACTTTCTCCCCACTACGGAAAAGCAAGAGTGTTGGATAGCCATGCACCTCCAAAAAGAGAGAGAAAAGCATGTCAGAAAGCATGACCAGATTCTTATTCTAACCTCTAATTTCTAGTGCACGGTCATCAACAGAAAAATACCCCACCAGACATTAGTGCTTGAAACAGTGTAATTCCATATATGTCTTCTCAAAAGGGGGTCCCACTGAATAAGTGCGGTCTAAATTTTATGTAGATGAAATTTGGCTTTGAACAGCAACACCCTCATTCTGGGGGTTGAGGAAGCACAAATTGCCGGTGCTGCCACAATCCCCTTGTTCCACATGGAGGAATCATTAATTTGTAGCTGCTTGCAGGAAAAATGGTCAAGATCAGGATGTATTTTAATTAGGAAAAGGTTTCCTGACATGTGTGGCAGGAATTAAATATATCCAAGTCTATGGCCAAGGGCCAAAGGATTAAGCTGAGAGCTCTGGATGTGCAACGAGGCTTTGGGGGGTGGCTTAAACAAAAAACAGTTCCCTGCAGTATCCAAAAAGCCACATGCTAGTCAGTGATTTTAGAAAGGCTGTGACAGAAGTAGCTGTGGCTAATGGGTGAATAGGGTAGAAAGAGACCTTCTGTAACTTCTGTGTGGAACCCTTTTAAAATCCAAGTCTATGGCTTTTACTCACAGCTGTGGCACATGTCCAATTCACATTCTCGCCTGAAGCAGAAGAGTGTTTTGTAGATGCAGCTGTGCACAAGAGGTATATCCACACAATGTTTTGTATGCCTCTATACAGAAGCAACTTTGCTATTTAGCCTCAACTCCATGGAAAGCCACAAGCATCTGTACTTACAGAAAATCTATTGCAGACATTGCGCTCAGCTGTGCAATCGACTTCTGCTATCTTGACATCCACTGGTCCTGGAAAGTTCTTTTTTGAGAGGTTCTCCCAAGTTGGAGCCAGGTTTTTACAATGACCACACCTGAAATGATACATTTTTTTGCATTCTTCAATATAGAAAAGAAACTTTAAAAGATTTTATATGCAGCAACACTGTTAAAGCATATCTCCATGCCTCCAGTTTCTTTGGGAGTGACAGACTTTGTATTTTTTGTAGCATCTCTTCAAAATGAAAAAATTCCATCATACTGCAGAGAAGATTTAATCCTTCAAGAATAACCATCTAAGACAATCAATATGTAATCTTAAATGACTTCTAAGGCAACACTGTTTGTGTTAGTAGGCATGACTGGTTTTTCAGGAACTAGTGTTGCATCTGCTGTTGTTACCAGTGTTGTGCTAAAGGGCCCTTACACTAGCACAATGTAATTAGCTGGTGTAACAGCAACCATTCACTTCAAAAGCACCAGTTCTTTCATTTAATAAGCATATTTTCTCATGCTTAGAAATACCTATTCTCCCAGCAGGGCCTCACCAAAGGAATTGGCACCTCATTCATGGTGAGCACATGAAGAAAGCTCACAGATAGGTACGGAGAGCCCCCCCTCTTCCAACAGAGGTGGGTGAGAGATTTGCCTGGCCACACAATGGCCTTGGGAAGCAGCAAGAGGTTTTCCTTCTTGCAAACACAGCACATGGGGAGGTCTCCTCCTCCAAAGCAGAAGAATCCCTCATAACGGGGGGGGGGGGGAATCAGTGAGCAAAATATTGGGCTGGCACCAAAGCCAGATAAACTTTGTGGAGTTTGCATCTTCTCTTGTGGCAACGTAAAGGTAACTTCTTTTAGCAACCTATCTTCTTACTATCTGCATTAAGAAAACACCAGAAATATCTGAATTAAAGATTAACCAATGACAAATTTAAAAATAATACACTGTTGAAGTATCAGAATGTCTAAAGGGACAACCCTAATGCTGCTGCTTTGGAAGTAGATTCTGCTGGAATTAATGGACAAAAACCAAGCTTAGTCCCAGAGCTTTCCTAAGATGCAGACCATGAGAAAGCAAGCTTTTTGTCACAGATGCAGATGTTACACAACAATAAGGCTAAAACCTGAAATACACTTCTATGCATAATTCCTTCCACCAGCTCAAAGACTGAAAAAGTAAGACAGGAAGGGACCGGGGATCATTTTAAAAGTCATTGTATTTCAAAATCACACAGCAAAAGAAGTGAATACCCTAAAACTGAGTTACCTGCACAGAAATCTCTGAAAACAGTTGCTGGTTTGTCTTCGCTATTCCAGATAAAAATATTTTTTTAAAAATTCCTCCTTGACTCAAACAAGGTCCAATTTATCTTAGATTATGAAATGGTGTTTGCCAAATTTAATTTCATTCCCGAACTTGCAGTGCACATTTTCTTTGAAATTCAGCAGACTGCTGTTAAACTACAATAAAAAGGGCAGAACTAGGAATACTTCTATGAATCTGCCCATCAATATAGCCATCTAATCTGCCAGGCTCCTTTGTACACAGCTAGACCTGGAAGTGTACCTTGAATTGAATTGAGTTCCCATAAAAGCTTCATGAACATCATAGAATACAATCCAGTCAAAGCCAAGTACTTTGATGTTCAAGGAATGCAGCTGCAATGAACTAAGCATTACACTCAAATCTGACAGGATCATGTCCACAATTATTTACAGAAGAATAAGTCTGTAAAGCATTAGGTGAATGAATATATGCTCCACAGTTATAAAATAAAGCAGGGATTAACAAACTGGAAATCTTGAAGCAGAATTCAGCTTTTACACACACATTGGCACTTAAACCATTCCTAATTCTGGATTGACTGCACCATTGCTGGTACATCCCTACCTTGACCATGCTTCATTCAGCTCAGTATAATTTAAAAAGTGTTAAAAATTGGTTCCCCATCTTAGAACGCTAAAGACACATCTTAAAACACTCTTACTGGCCTGTTTTCCAGATAATAACCACCCATAATTCAACAACAACAGACTGGGAAATACATACAAATTTCAGGGCTGAGAATCAATGGGAAGGGAAACATTTGATATATTTCTCTTCCATTTACCTCCCAGCCTTGAAATCTGTATATATTTTCATTTCAAAATAATAAAAAATTACCTGGGAGAGGGTTTTTTAAAGACATCTGGGAAGGAAGCAGAATGGGATGAAACCAATGGGGTGTCTCCACTCAATATGACCCCATTCACTCCATCCCATTCAGCTGTCTTTTCAGAAATTTTTCACAGCTATCAGGGAACAGAAGTAACCACTCTGAAAATGAGCTGCAAAAAGATCTGGACACCTGGGGAAGTGTTAAAACCGGAACTGTTCATTCCACACTAGAAATTGTGAGGGTTACACTGCAAAGAGCAAGTTCTTAAGTTCGCCCCCACCCCCCACCCCTTCTGGTGCATATAGTTTGCCATTTTACTCTTTGTTGGTGGTTCTCACTTGACAACTGGATACCTGATAGCTGTCAACCATTTGCCATCTAGCCCATGTACAGTCTCACCTTCTTAGTCGGCTACTGTTTGATAACCAAAGTTAACAAAGACATTGGCCAGGCAAAACTACACATACTGTAAAGCTATAAGGGTGCACTTGTGCAAGAGCGAAAGACTGGCACCTTCTTGTCCCCACAAGTAACAGCAAAGACATTTGCACACATCTCTGGAGCCAAGAACTCAAATAAAAAGCTGAAGAGTGGCAAAAGATTTTGCTGCTCTTGCCAGGTGGCTTGCTAGCCAGTCCCCATGGCCCACAATGAGATTGTTCTGCCAGTTTTGGATGACATGGCAACCCAATGCAGGCTGAATTGCCCCTAGAACAAGCCACAGGTCTCAGGGTGACATGTTGCCCCCAAACAAACCACCCTGCAGGAAACAACCTCGGTTCAGATGACACAGCAATCACTCCTGATGGGCTGCTGTGTCGTGCAAACCCAATCAGGGTGTGCAAGAGAGCACTGACTGTAAGTATTGCAAATTATTAAGAGGAGATGGGCTTCTGCTGGTCATTCAACATAATGTTAATATTTACTTAAAGCAAAGTAAAGGGGAAAAGGTGACCTCAGCACACTAGTGGTTACTTGGCCAAACATAAAACAGTTGACATGGAAGAGAAAAAGGTCAATTTGTATACAATGAACTATAATTGTGTACACAATTTAGGTGGCCAGGAATAGGATACTGCTATTTATATAGTAAACATTAGTCTGAACTGCAGCTTTTCGTGGAAATAATTGTTGCCAAAGAGAGTGGATTGGCTGGGTGGCATTTAGAGTTTCTTTAACACAGTCCTCCTGGATCTTTGTGGTGTGTCCTTTTTAGAATGAAGTCAGGAGAGAACAGAAGTTATATTTGGACTGCAACTCTCTTCTAAAATTTGCTAGAAGGGCTTGATGAATTCCAGTGGTATGTTATTTCCTTCCTAAATATCACTGTCACCTGGGAATAAATGAGATGGACCCAATTTCACCTAGAGTTACTGGACTGTGTCCAGCTGGGAACTAGTAATTGGCCTACACACCACTGTGGTAGGGTTTACAGATTAAATTTAGAAGGATGAAGTTATATGCCACATGCCAATAAACCCCCCGAAAATCCAGGATTCCTCCATCTGCAGAAATAGGGAAAGTCTAAGCAGAAGGGAAGCTCCAGATTACCTGGATGCAAATTCAGATGCTGCAGAGGAGGATGAGGGAGCCAGTACTGTGCCAAATCAAGAGCAAAATCACTGTGGTGGGTAAATGAAGACTCAATTTCACACCCATCCTTAAACATGAAATCGTTGGGTAGCCTTTAAGCAACGCCCAGGTTAATGGCTACCACAACAATGCATATCATTTGAGCACAGCATCCAGTAGATATGCAACAGAGCTTACACCACCATCAGAATTTTTTCATCACAGTGGTAATTTTGTAATCCCCCTTGAGCATGCCAGTGGAGAGGGTAAGATATAAATCGAGCAACCAGTCATTTAGGTCAGCCACAAAGGCTCTCCTCTGGTGGGTGCCCTTGCTGAATGAAGTCAGGTGGGTGACTGAAAGAAACGGGGGCTTCTTGGTTGTGGCACCATGTTTATGGAATGCTTTCCTGAACGAGGCTTGCCTAGCATTCACAAGGTCATCGCATCGGTGCCAGGCAAGGACATTCCCATTCTCCCAACCAGTTTGGATTCCAGACTGTACATTTTAGATCTGAGATACTGAGTATGTTGAATAGCTGCTTTTATATAGTTTAGAATGCATTTTTATCCCCTGGGCTGATCGTGGTTATTGTTGCTTCTTACTGTGTAGGATGCTTTCACCCCTTTCTTTTGGTATTGTGTAATCTGCTCAGAGAATTCTTTTTGAAACAGAGTAAAAGAGGACAATTAAACAAAGCTAATTCAAGTCCCGTTATTTTCAGTGGGTCTGCTCTATCTATAACTGAGTCTAGATTCAATAAAGTGCTTTTCAATGGAATCCATTAACGTATTTACCATGAGTTACCAAATACAGATAACCAAGGGGTGCTAAGAGTGCTTTGCATGCATTTGTGAACCAGTCCTCTGTGTCACACAGCACTGATCATATAACAATACCCTCTCTTTAAGTCTCAGGCAGTCACACCTTTAAACTGCAGGTACAAATAATTCATAGACAAATTAACTGTCTGCTACAGACAACTTCAGCTCATCACAGGTATGATATGGTTAAAAGGAACAACTGCTCTCATATAAAACACAATTTTAATCTGGATAAATGGTACTTCTGAGGCTGGAGCAGGGAGCTTGATTAAAACAACCACTGCAACAAAACAAAATAAAAACATAAATACTGGCAATCCCAAATACATTCTTAAAAAACGTACCATGGAGCATAGAACTTGATGAAGGTGATTCCATTTGCAACTTCTTTATCAAAATCTTTTTCTGAGAGGGCAAGGACCTTACCCTGTCAAATGAAAGGGAGTTCAGAATTAAATCGCTTTACACAATGCTAGTCTGTTCAAAAGCAATGCAAAGCCCTGACTGCTTTAAAGTCACAAATGGTGTGCCTGCACAGGATGGAGCAATGGCACCTACTGCCACACAGGCCACGTGTGAAGATTTCTTATCCACCCCAGGGCACCCTTTTAACCCATGGATAGCCGTTTTCCTTCCACAAATCATATTTACTGAAAATGGCCAATAGTTTCTGCAGCAACTTATCTCCCTTCGGGAGAAGATGATGACAAAACGGACTGAATTCAATGGCATATGCACCTGTAATCACAGAAATGCTTAGTAATTTTGAATAAACTCCTGTCCAGAAATCTACACTGCACCCTTGGAAACCCAGCATATGAGTACTACACCCTAAATTAACAGCAGTATCAAGTTATTTTCTCTTGATGCATGTTTTTTGTTCCTTTACCATCTTCTGGTTTACTGTAATTCCTTCTTTCCTGTCCATTTGTTCCCTGTCTTCCTGCTATGCAACCAATCAAGGCAGACATCTTACTCATGACTGACTTTGCCCCTGGCAACAAAGTGTGATGTCACAAACATGGTGACATGGAGCAAGGGGTGGCAAGAAATGTAACATAGAATCCAGCAGGAAGTGTATTTAAAGGTACAAACAGGCAAAGTGTGAGCAGCTGGGAACTGGCTTGCTTAGAAAGCAACCTGACATGAAAAATGGAACAAAACCAGACATTGATTCACCCTTCCCTAGCAGTAGTCAATGCCAGGTTTAATACTAGTTGTAACTATAACAATCACAATACGTTCTTGCAGGTTCTGACAAATATTTGATCCAGAAGTTTAGTCAGGATCCTGGTGGAGTGGTGGCAATGAAGCCATGGGCGTTATTTTTAGTGCGGAAAATGCTTTCCATCAAGAGTAACTTTGGACCTACCTCCTCCTCAGGAGTGATTTCTCCAGGTGGTGTTGGTGCTTCAGTGGGCTTAGCATCACCTGGGCCTTCACCTGAGTTTTTCAACTGGGAATCTACATATTCCTTCAAAGAGTCCAAATCTCTCTTTCCTTTGTACTGGTCAGCCTACAAAGAAAGCATTGTGTTCTTAGTTTAGCAAATCCCATTTAATGATGATGAAGTTAAACTGTTGGCTCACCATATCGACACACAATTTATACCATCCTATTAACTTGGTTCACAGCTTATCCTCTTCTGCCATGAATGAAATCCATGAAAATCTGAACACAGCAGGCTGTGATTCTCTGCTGGGCTATGCAGGAGGAGATCACACTGAAATCAACTTGGATGTTTGGTTTAGTTCTGCCTAATCAAGCATTCAAGTAAATCTAGGCCTAGGGCACTGGATAGGACACATCTTCTGGCTGTAGCAGTGGTGAGGTATGGAAGAGCCAGAAAATCAAGTGAGTGGCTCTGAACTGAAGTAAACACTAGAAGGGCAGGATTTTCCTTGGAGATGGCCCTCTGTGAAGATCCTAAGGACTTGGTAACACACTGCCTGAAGCAGGTTTTCCTCATCTACTTTGTCTGAAGACAGCATCCTAAGAGACTTTTTTCTTATCTGTGTAAACTGGGGTTCAGCTAGAGATGTCGGAGGTGTTTGCAAATCCAGCACACACAAAGCAAGATTGGATTCCTTCAAAAAAGGACCTTTTATTCTTCTAGGAAGCTTGCAGCTCATATGACTTGTGGTTATATAAAGATTCAGGTTCAACAAAACATGCTCTAATTTCACATCACTAGGTGTGGGATAATTTTGCAGGTGATCTAGACAAGCCACATCACATAGTGTATGAAAATGTTCTAATTTCACAAACTTTGTAACAACCTCACCTTTTCTCCATCTCTGAACCAAAGGAGTGTTGGGTATCCTCGCACTTGGTTTGCAGAGCAGACTTCAGAATTCTGTGTGCAGTCCACCTACAAATCAGCATATTTAAAATAATTCTCAAGAAATAAAAGATCACAGGAAGTTTCACATGGTAAAGTATGTATAAACCGGTGATGGTCATAGCTCTAAAATGTATAATAAAATATATAATCCCTCCATCAAAGAAAAGGCATAACTGCTGAGATGAAATAAAGTGAACTCTGATTATTTCTTATTTGTAAATATATCTTAAATATGCTAGATGCTGCATATGCAATTCCCTGCCTGTAGGCTCACATCTGAAAGCATGGAACAATGGACAGAGGATTTGGGAGGGATAGGAAAATTCTGTACTTACTGGTGAGACCAAAATAAAACAAAAGGAGATTCAGTGAGAGACAGTACAATAATTGACATAACAGCAAGAGAAAACCCAAAGGAAACAAAATGAAACTTCACAATGAATTTAACACGAGCAAAAATAAAATGAGTTTTCAATCTTTTCTTGAAGGAGGACACAGAAGAAACAGGAAGTGCTCTGTGCACAAAAGAGAGAAAACAAGGAGATGAGAAACAGAGTAAGTGACTGGAGGTTTAATAAGCAGTTTGTTATTTGATAATCAAAAAGGCCAAAGAGGTGAACAGGGAGAAAGCAACAGACAGAAGCAAGTGCAAGATTTTGAACTGACTTAAAAGAAGCCTAATATGGGCAAATTGAGAGAGACCATGAAGAGAGACATATCCAGCAGTTACATGATTAAAGTACAACTAAATAAAAACTTTATGAGGAAATAACCTATTATTATTATTTTACATTTCTATACAACACTGTTCAATAACACTGAAGTCACCCATCCAGATTTCAACCAGGCCTGACCCTGCTTAGCTTCCAAAATTAGGAAGGAACAGGCACTTCAGACTATTTGAAACTTAAGAAAGGAAAATTATGGAAGGGTTAAAAACAGAACAACTAGTTTTATGTTGCAAGATGAGAAGACTGAAAAGCAAAATATTAGAACAACTGGCATATCATGAAGAGGATAGGAATAAGAACGTTAGCAGATCCAATAGATAAGGAAGGCCAGATTGTACAAGTTTTATGAAGAGCGAACTGGCAGACCTTAACTACTAAAATGTGAGCCAAGCAAAGGAGAGAAGTATCAGAGACAATGCCCAAACTCTTAACTTGCTGAGATGACTGGTGAATAAAGTTACTAACTGAAAGAGAAAGTGAAGGTGAAAATGAAGTTTTATGGGGGAAGACAATAAATTCAGTCTTTTGCATATTGAGTTCTTGGGATAATGAACATCCAGAAGAAACAGCTGCATGGCAGTAAGGAAGAGTAGTCTCATCTCTGTTCAGACACAGGATTCCTCTGAATACCAGATGTAGAAGGCAAGGGAGTTCATTGCTCTCCTGCCTAGCTTTAGGCTTCTCAAAGGCACCTGAATATTCACTGTTGGAAACAGGACATCAGGCCACTAGATGCTCAGTAGCTGGTCTGGTGGGATCTTTGGATATTTTGTGTGAGGAAAGGGCAAGGAAGGGAAAAAAGAAATGGAATGACAGGACTAGATAGCATCATGTAACAATCATAATGCAAGGCAAGAGGACAGAGGGAGTTGTTTACAAAGTTAGGCCTGCCTGAAGTAGACCCAGTGAACTGAAAAGGACTTAAGTCAGACTCATGTTGGATACCATCAATATTACTAAGAGCAGGCAAACAGGAAGGCAGACCAAGGAAGCTAAGAATCGAGCCACTGAGCTACCAACAGGGAAAGGCAAAATGCCCATTAATGGAATCATTCAAAGAACACGATGGGAGTGAAACCAAGAAAGACCAATGTTAATGAATCCCAAAAATGCAGAGAACAGAAGAGCAAAGAGTGGTCAACTCTGTCAAAAGCCAAGGAAAAATCAAGTAGAATAAGAAGAGAAAAAATATTATTTGGCATGAAGATAATTAGAGATCTTATTTAAAGTAATCACTGTTCAACACAGAGGTTGAAAACTAGCCTGAAAAAAAATTGAAGACATTACAGCAATAATTACTGAAATAAAAGCATTACTCAGGTTTGGAGAGCAAAAGAAGGAAGAGAAAAGAGGGATGCAAAGATAGTGGTTTAAAAACTTGGGAATGGAACCAAAATTAAAGCAAGAAGGGACATGAACAGAAAAAAAGGAGAAGATTGGAAATTTGGATGAGAGAAGAAAAAACAGATGTAACAGTCATTTCTAATTAAAAAGGGAAAGGGAACCTGATCAAGAGGCAGAAGAAAGGCAGAAGAAAGAAAAGAAACTGGGGAAAGGAAAAGGAAAGGAAAATACAACCACATGGATGGAGACATACCAGGAATAATACAGCTAATACTGAGGGAAACTCTTACAAGAAACTGATGATGAATCAGAAGAAGATTTATTTATTTATTTATTTAGTTTCTACCTGTCCATTAGTTAGGATGATTCTCTGGGTGGCTTAAAACTTAAATATATTATCATTAAGAGGATACTCTAGATAATAAAAGTAGCCAATCAATGCTAAGGAAAATAAGATTGAGTAAGATAAAAGAAGGAAGACTGCAGAACAATACAGTTGATCAGTGCTGGCTTTGCAGCTTCAGGTTGAACCAGGGATAACAGCAGTGGGTGCAGCAGCTCCTGGGGTTCATAGCAGCGACTGTTAGTCATCCCACTTGACAGGCTACAGAAGTGGGCACTATCGCTCTAATTCATGCACACCTGTTGGCCCCAACACAATTCAGTTCTGAAACAGTTGATGCTCGTGCATTCAGTTCGGGTGAGCCTCACCTGCGGCAATCTGGCAGAGGGAGTCTCATGCACACTGAAGGATCCAAACACCAGTCTAATGAGAGAAGCATCCCTCCTGGGCTTTCTCTCCCCCAATATCTTGCATTAGTATTAATAATTAATACTTTGCATTAACAAGAAACAAACAAATACAGCACCCCCCAACCAAACATGCAAACATTTATTTTAACTGAATTTTAAAAGGCAAAACCATGCAGTGTCTTCCTTATACACTGTGAGAACTCAGCTTGCTTCTCTCAGAATACAGCATGCCAAGGTGTTTGCTTCACACTCTGAATCCAAACTGGAAGGAGGGACTGGAATTCTTGACAGAAATAGCAAACCCTGAGAAAGGCCAAGCAACCAGTGAGAAACAGGCCACACCTGGTCCAGGGGAAGTGACTGCCGGACAGGAAAGGCCAGAGAGTAAGGGATGTAATTTTAAAGTCTTATTGCCTGACCTCCTGAAGCTGGCAAACTGAGCAGTGTCCAGGGTTCCTGCTGTCCGGCCCATTGGCAGCAGGCGCCTCCCTGAAGGTGGAGCTAATTCCAGTTGGTGGGGAAGAGAGGAGAGGGATTCAGCTTTTTGACCCGAGTGGTACTTTCACTCCATTAGCTGGCTTGTTAACTAAATGGACTGTCTTTACCTCTGCAATACTCTGTTGCATCACAAAACCAACCTGGCTGGCCCACTTTACCATACAGAAGTTTGTAGTTAGAAGCTTGTTTTCCTGAGCTGCTTGGAAGGGCAAAGGGAGGTGCAGGAGACCAGCTCTCAATATATGTATTCACATGTAATGCACAGTTTATCCTCCAAAAAGATACAGAACACCCCTCACTCAGGACCATATTTTGCCTAAACTTTAACACTTGTGTCCAGTTGAGCACTACAGACTGGGAGTGCAATCTTTTCTACCAGAAAGCCAACAATATGACTACACTTCTGTTTTTATAGTTAGCTGAAGTTGTTCCAACACCCACACACATCTGCATGAAGATGGAAAGAAGGGCTCCATCATCATAAAACTAGGCTGCAGGGACCTGCCTTTTCCTTCTTAAAAATAACAAGGCTCTGACATGGCTGTCTTCCTATAACTACTCATGCATTTGGCCACAAAGAGTAAGCTCTCCTCCTAAGTTAAGCAGTTTGTTATGGCCATCTTTCAAGCTTTCCTGCAACATGCACGTGCAAGCAGGAGGAATGGTAAGTAGATTGAGAGAAGGGTTTCTTCAAATATACAAGGCATCAGAAATTCAAAATACAAAGGTAAGTGGATGGCTTGCCAGAAAGAGTTTAACTTAAGACACAATTTAGAGTTTAACTTAAGTTTAACTTAAGAGTTTAACTTAAGACACACCAAAATGAACTGAGATTGATGGTGCAAACAGTAGTCTCCTCTGTAAATGTTACTACTAAGGGAATTTATTTTCGATTTAAAAAAAAATCACTATTTGGTCAATCGAGCCTACCTTGCCAATCTTGACAGTCGCTGAATTTTCAAGGAACAGGGCCAACTGTTCCCACGTTGGTGCCAATGCTTTGCAGTGGCCACACCAAGGCGCAAAGAATTTGATAAAATGATTGCCTTTAAAGGAAAAGAGAATGTGTACAGGTAAGCAAACAGGGCTCAGTTCATTCATCTCTATGGAGATCAGGTGCCTGTCTTCACTCCTTTCCACTCCTCTTCCCTAGGTCTGAAACAGGAAGACACCAAGTGTTTTTCATCTTACAGGGTTGCTATAAGAATATGTGAAGTGGTTTGAACATTCAAAAGTACTTAGATAAATGCCAAGTATTATTAGCATGTGGTATGTATCATGCATAAACAAAAATGCAAGTTTGCAGGTGATTTGTGGCAGGACACATCCATGCAAGGGAGGAGAAATGGAGGCAGGCCGAGTAAGAAAGACAGGATGGCAGAGAAGAGAAAGAGGAAGGGAACCGTGGAAGAAAAAGAGGCAGCCCACACACTTTTGACCTCAGGTCTGGATTATTTAGCTCCAGCACTGCCCATTAATGGAATGTGACCCCCGATAGATTACCTCAAGGGAATGCAGCCCTTGGCAGAAAGAAACGTTCTCTGTCTCATTTCAAAAATTATGTTTCTTTAGAGTCTGTGAGAACTGTATATGACACATATTCTCCTCCTCCTCCTCCTCCCTCCCTCTATCAAGTAATTCCTCAAAATATCATATGGCTGCAAAGTGTCTTATTCTTTTAAGAGCTGCATATGCAACAATTTGTTTCTAAAGTGTTTTTGAATCTTTATTATATGCTGTGCACAAACCTGTGAGGTATGGCAGTCTGACCAAGACGGTGGCCTCAAAAAGCATGACTTTACTTGCCAGGATCATATAATGAATCTATAGCACAGTACTTTCTTGTTGCTTGGGCTTTGATGATAAGGCAATATTTGTCTGCTCACAATAGTCAAATTCCAAATTTCTGGAATCCAGGACCCTCTCCTCCTCCTTCAGTGCAACGCTGTGCACATCTACTTATAAGTTCCACTGTGTTCAACAGGATTTATTGCCAGATAATTGCAATCCTATACATGCTTTCCTAGAAATAAGTTCCACTGATCTCAATGAGATTTCTGAATAGATATGTCTAAACTGAGTTGTTGGTTGCTGATCTCATGCTGCACTTATTTATCAGGCTGAGGACAACCCCTTGTTCATTGCTACCATGGCACTGAGCTTCTGAACGCCCTGAAGCCTGACACAAGGATTCTTTCCCTAGTCCTCTACTTCCAGGCTGGAGAGAAGGGTAGGACCTTTGTCTCTTGACAGGCAGCAACAGAGTAATTGTCAAAGGGCAGAATCAAGCTGGGCTATTAGAAGTGATGCTAATTCACTGTACGGTTTAGCTTTCATTCAATATGTGATGTTATACAGTTCTGTTCTTAAAGGGGATTTAAAAAACCTGTAATATTTATATTGAGTTACCTTCTACAACATGCAGTTTGAAATTAGCTGCTGAGAGCTCATAGAGGCCCTGCTTTGGCTCAGGGGGTTTTGTGGGCTCCAATTCAGGTTCTTGCTCCTACCAAACAAAGAAAAATTTCACTTACATAACCAACATTATTTTATATGAAAGAAACATCAGTGGATCAATGGCTGCTTGCACAATAAAAGTATAAATATAAAATACAGTTATGCTCATCACTATACAGACAAGGACATCATTTCACTTTTTAGATAAATGTCTATTTGAGATAAGTCAGCTTATTGTATGCATAATCATGGCAGCTTACCAAGTCGAATTCTGCCACTATTAGATAGGATATATCTGTATGTTTATCAGATATTTAGGAAGAGGACCTTTTATTGAAGGTCAAAATACTATAATGTACAGTCAAACAGGTGTGAGAAGTCTGGATTGGGGTATGTATGCTGTATCTTTTTTATATTTTTTCAAATTCATTTTTCTAAACTAGACTTCTGAAGAAGACCTGTGGTTCAAACATGTTTGTCTATTTCAGGCACTGAATGATAAGCCTGTGCTCGATTTTACACTCCTCTACTGCTCAACAATTGTATGTTTATAACCTATATAGACAAAGCGATGTTATAAGACTTCATGGATATTACCCATTTTTACTGGTTTATTTATCCCAATTAGTTTATGGGTTCCTTAGGCCACACATATACCCTGTTCACACTGAATGACAATTCAGTGACAAGTATGGGTTGAATATGGGTTGTTACTGAATCATGGTTTGTTGTGTTAGTTATGAAAACAAGTAATGGTTTGTTAAGCAAGAATAAGCTACCAGATAATAAACAGGCTGTGTTCACACAGTACACATCAGCAACCCTGCATGTTTACCATGGTTCAGTTTTGTTCCTACTTCACCATGGCTTCTATCCGACCTGTTTAGTCCTCCCACTCTTGGCATGTGTCCTATCAGACACTGCTCCCAAAATTCATCACTCCCTGTTTACATCATATGCTTCTTCCTTATTGGACCACACATAGAGGTTGGATGGCTAGAGCAGTTCCTGCAGTTGTCACTCTATCCAGAGAACTCTGTGGCAGCTGCATACCAGGACCATGAAATCTATGATCCTGTGCTCAGACGATGTGACAGGTCATGCTGCTTGAGAGAAACCATGGAATAAACCTTTGTTTCTTATGCTTTTAAAGACCAAACTTATCATCGTGAAATATCATGACTGGGAAGGGACAACACAACAGATCAACAATGGTAAAAAACCCACCATGTCTTGTGTTTTCTGAACCTAGCCATGGTTTGCAGCTGGGTTGTGCTCTTAAGTTGCTCATGGTTAATAAACTATGGTTTGTTAGCACAGCTCACAACACAACAACTCACAATTCAGTGAAAACCTATGATTCAACAACAGACCATACCCAGATGCACTGTGTTGTGTAAACTTCATCATAATTAAGTTTGGATTTGGTTCAGCAGAGAAATAAAGGGTCAAGAAACACTGCCTACATTCACCTATTATTCTCCTTTAATATAAATGGAATTAGTTTTTTTTAAGATGTGGTCATTATTGGTAGCTACTGCTTGGATCAAATTATTAAGGAAATAGGTAGAGTGGCTCTTAAATAACTTCACAGGCTCCATCCTCTGATTACCCTAAATTTAAGTCCAATCATGCCCGCATTCCTAATGGCCTTCTAAAAGAGGGCATCATAAAAGGAAGAGGCTTCAGCCCACATGGCCTCCTGTAACTCAAGTAGCACTCTACTGTATTGGCACTTTAAAAAATCTTTTTCTCATTCTCTCTTTCTCCTGAAGGACTCTTTCATCACTTACAATAGATTTTTCCTTTAATGTCTCCAACATCCAATTCTCCAGTGACTGGAAATCTCTAGGTCCCTGGTATTTTGCAGCTTCTTGGCCTGGTCTAAGAAGTTTAAGACTGTAAATAAAAGAAGACAATAAGGCAAATATTTTCAGGGTCAGACAAGTTCAAAACATTCTGAAAACAATCATACTTATCGCATTATGTCAGATCTCAAAAACATTCCTCACAATGGTTTCTTAATTCCAGTTTTTAGAGTTCCGGTGCTTTCAATACCACAGCGCTAGACTTTCCAAGTTCAGACCTCTGGCATTGTTTTGTAAACTTCCAAAATATCTTTAAAGTGAAGAATGACACAAAGCTAATTTTGACAGAAGCAGTTGGAATACATGTTCATTTCCCCGAAAACATACAGTGTAAATTCTTCCGTCTTGATGCAAGCCAGCAAATAATCCAGTCCTTTAAGCTTCTAGGATGTTGGAGAAAGACTGGGCTAGTGCTTGTTATGTCACCAATACACTTTGCCACCTAAATTGCTGAAGCAGTTCTGCAACCATTTTTAAAGCATTGGAAAATTTTCTTGTGAATGTCAAGGATGAATATATGTAAAAATTTGCAGCCCTCTCTAACATGAAAAAAGAGGACAGCATGTCTGAAACATGAAGAGAAGGCAGGGCTGATCCAGGATTGGGCTTGCAAGACATTGCAAGCAAATTGCAATGTCTTGCAAGCAAACTGCAACACCAGGAACTTGAGCCACACGTGAAGAACCTGTTGTGATTAGGGATACTGTAGATATACCCATCTTATAAAGAATACAAAAATACTACATTTTACATTAACAATTAGAGAAATTCTAAGATAATATGTCATTAAAAGCACAATCCTATACATGTCTACTGAGATGGAGCTTGTTTCCATGAAAGCAGGCATGGGATTCTGGTTGAAGAAGCAAAATTCAGAGACTAAAGCTGCTACCCTCGGAAAGTTATAGACAGAAAAAGTGGCTGTAACTCCAGAAAAAATGGAGAAAACTGTCTAAGGCAGTGATGGCGAACCTATGGCACGTGTGCCACAGCGGGCACGCAGAGCCCTCTCTGTTGGCATGCGAGCCAAGTCGCCCCAGCATTGCCTCAGCAGCCACGCACATATTCGGAAAGAGTAATGGTGCCAGGCAACGACATCATCCATTAGCTGCAACTCGCCGCAAGAGGGGGCGTTGAAGAGGTGGCCAGAGGCAGGCACAATGGCCGTGGCAGGGGTGCCAGGAAGGGAGCACTGGTGGCAACACCCTCCTCCTGCCTCCTCCTCCTCCTCCCAGCCTGCATCATGTGAGCGGCTGCCCAAGCTGCCATCCTAGCGCAGTGGCAGGATCCTGTCAACTTGGTAGCTGCAGGCGCAGCCAGGCAGCCACGTGCCCGCCTACCCGCTCCCAGGCTGGCTCCCACGCCGGGGGCCATGGGTGGGGGGAAGCTGGGTGAAGGGAGTGAGTGACGGGATCAAGGTGGCGGAGCAGCAGCAGCTGGAGCGAGGAGGAGAGAGAGGGCACCCGGGATCAATATGGCGCTTCCTGAGGAGGGAGGCCAAAACGAGGAAAAGTGGAGGCTGTAACTGCTGCGAAGCAAGAAGAGTGGGCGTGTTGCAGGGATCCCTCTCTCCACCCGACCCCACTCGCCAAGGCTTGGCAGTGCTGTGGGGGTGCCTCGAGGAAGATCCCAACGGAAGCGTGGAAGGGATCAGCGAAAGCCTCTCCTCACCTTTAGTTTAGGTTCCCCCACCCTGCATTCTGCCCCTCTGGTAAATTTTCAAGTACTGCCGAAGCTCCTGCGGCATTCCCAGTGGCTGGTTTGGGGGCAAGGAGGGAGGGAGGGAGGGAGAGCATGCGCCCGGGCACAAGCAAGTCTTGTGTCCCCTGACTTGGAGGCACTGAACGTGAACATGGCTCCTTCTCTCTGTTATTGTGTTTTTCTTTTAAGACAAAAGATGTTAACATCTGAGTTGGTTTTTTTCTAAACTAAAACCTCAGTATCCAGGTTTTATTGCAGTGTTGGCACTTTGTGATAAATAAGTGGGTTCTGGGTTGCAGTTTGGGCACTCAGTCTCTAAACGTTTGCCATCACTGGTCTAGGGCATGCTAAGAGTTATAGGCCATTTTTCCTGTCTAAACTTGCATAGCATTGCACCCTGTTTCCTGTCAGTGTGGGTCCTGAGAAGTCCTTGCCTGCAATTTACACTTTTTTTCCAGTTTACACTAAATTTAACCTGAGAAGCTGCTGAATTCACACAAGTCTGTTCAGGCAGAGGTTACATATGCCCCACAAAAGGGAAGAACCCATCAGAGAAGCTGTCTCTGCAGGATGGTCTAACAGGCTACCCCATCAAGAAGGTCAGATGGACCTTTTGCATTACATGCTTAACTTCTAGGGTTTTATTAATCAACTTGTTTCTGATTTCACAACAATATACACCTTGAAGAAAACGCTCAATAATTCCTACACCGGATCAGGTGTGGTCTGTTTACTCCAGCTTAATAAGGCAATTCAATCACCGTCCACTTCTAACTATAAAACTCTCATATCAGCATGGTACATTGTACAGCTGTTCTCCGATCGGAGTGAGCAAACATAGAAGTAGGTTTGTTGCATGTTTCAGTATAATACAGCAATGAGAAAATAGCATACATTTCTTATATTGGAATATTACTTTGGTTTCCTTGTGCAATCTGATTAAAGCAATACATCCTATTTAGAGGGCTTTTAAAAATTCCACTTCATTGCTACATTCAGCTTTTGCTAGCTGTAAGATTTATTCACAAAGGGAGAGCAAATGAATATAACATAGGATCTAAAGACACAATATACTGCATGTACTTGGCAACAAACTGTACCTACTGATATGAACATTTAACTAAAATGATGCACAATTAAATGTAGTTGCCCTCTTTAAATTGGCAGGGATTTATGGAAAATATGCAACATAATAAAATGAAGGAAATACTCCTTCACACATACGTTGGGTATCCTCTGACACTGAATTCAGAACACAGTGGCGTATCTGCAGTACAGTCCACTTTCACAACGTAGACTTGTGGATTTTCCATGTTGTTGTACTTGTCAGCAAGTTCATTCCAAGTTGGCTGCAGTCGTTGACAGTGCCCACACCTGGAGGGATGATAATGATAATAAAAATAATAAAATTAGTAGAAGTTTTGCATGATTTTGAAGTTACCGTCTTCTGTTATGGAAACTATTACAACTGAGGACCTTCGCACACACTGTATTTATATTGTTCTTCCCATTCCCACCAAGGCTATTGTCTCATTAGATTTAGATTTGCACTATTTAATTTGCTGTTATTTTTCAAAAACTGTTCTGTGGAAAAACCTGAGACTCCGTGGAAGTTTATCAGGAGTTCCTGGTTGATAAGTACAGCAGGAGCAGGCAAAACTCTCAGCAGGTTGTTTTTTGGGTGGTTCCAGTGGGAGAGGTCCTACCATTACCATTTAGATAGTGCTGTATAGCTATTCCTTCTTGACTTCCTTAAGGGATTTTCTGTGGTCAGAAAAAAAGATTGAAGATGTGGTGGGAAAACACCGGAAAGTTACAAGTGGGAGATGATGAGTGATACTCCTGTAAAAATGCCATGAATGTGCAAAGTGGTGGCAAGATAAAAGAGCATTCTCCTTTTATTACGAAGGTCATCCCCCATTGGAGTACAGGATATGTTCTTGGTTGCATTCTCTGTTTACACAGGATGGCTACCTTCATCTGAAATTTGAATATAATGCGTCAACTGGGACTTATGGGAAATGCAGTCCAAAACCTCTGAAGGGTACTAGACTCCTCTAAAATATCCTCTCCTCTAAAAGAGTGTGATGCCCCCAAGCAAAGTCCCCTTGAGATTATATTCAGGTTTTTCACTAGAGATATTTATGATTTTTCCACTTTTGCCAGATCCTGTGACTTCTGTTGGGGGCTTAGAACCTATGCCGCATAGATGCAGGTGTCCAAAAATAGGATGAAAAATTTTCACCTGGTGTATAAAATGACCCTCTGATTTTTGCCTCATTATCTCCAGTTTCAAGGGCAGTCTTATATGCTGGTATATATGGTATACTTCTGCCATGAGGGTCAGGTATTCAGAGTGGACAAAGACTGGATCTAAAGTGGTTCTATGGATCGGAGCCATAATGTTTCTTTGGAAAAGAAAATTGTAAAAAAAAAAAAAAAAGTTGAACCTTGGATAATGTTACAGATAACTGAATCAGCAAGTCAGCCAGATGCTTCATTCAGTGTAAATCAACATCATATTAGACACAAAGCAGTACTGAAAGTTGCCTTTTTCACTTGACTGCTTTCTTGAGAGGAGGAAAACATCTCCAGGTACTTCCAAATCTGTTCGCATTTGCTAACTTTTTATGATGCTAACATTTTAAAAGTAATACCGAACACTTGGAGATTTCTTCTTCAGAATGGTCAGTGGAATACACACAGTGGGAAATAAAGGTAAGACAACTTTACGATAAAACACAAAAAAGGACCGACCAAAGGACTTTCCATATATGGAGCCCTTCCTCTCACATAACGCATAAACTGTCCCAATAACATTGAACAAAGAAAGCCCTTTTTGGCTGGAGATAAAATGAAGGGAAAATGACTTGCAAACTTAATTCTACTGTCACAGATATGAGACCACAGCTAGGGAAAAAAGATGGCTATGGAAGTAGATTATGTGCAATTTTCTGAAATCAGAAATATCTATGTCCACAATGAAAGCCATTTAAGCACCTTGCATATCTAATTGCAATACTAAGATTAGACACATCAACAACTCTCAAAGAAAAGCCACTGTTACTTTCTATAAACATCTTGCACTTGTGTAAATGTTTGTTCTTCATGATTTTGCAAAGTTATGGAGGCATCCATTTCATTGCAATAAAAGGAAATGGGCAAGAACTCAGATAGGTGCATCTCCTATAAAAAGGCAGGTTACTCACCTGTAACTGTCGTTCTTCAAATGGCCATCTGTGCATTCACACATATGGGTGCTACGCCTGCACAGTGCCTATGGCCGGAACGATTCAAAGCTTAATGGTTTTGGTGGGAACTCTGCACCCCTCCCATCCCCCATGGTATAAAAGGGTGGAGTGCCTGCCATTTCCTCAATCCACTGAAGACTGATCGTTCGTCCCCTCACGGGAGCGAGAGATATTGCAGGGAACTGCCGAACCTGCGAGAAAAATCACCAACAAAACCATTGTCAAGGAGAAACGGTATGTATAAACGCAATCACCGACACTGAGCGGGGCCGGCGGGTGGGTTGTGTGAATGCACAGATGGCCACTCAAAGAGCAACAGTTACAGGTGAGCGACCTGCCTTTCTTCATCGTGGCCTCTGTGCATCACACATATGGGTGATTAGTAAGCTTACAAGACCTGGCGGCGGGCAGTGTCATCATTGAAGAACAGAAGAAAGGATTGCCCAGCCAAAGGAGCAATCGTGTTTGGCACGCACATCAAGGCGGTAATGCCTGGCAAAGGTGCAAGTAGTAGTCCAAGTGGCAGCCTTGCAAATGTCCTGGATTGGAATGCCAGCAGCAAAGGCAGAGGAAGCAGCTACTGCCCTTGTGGAATGCCCTCCGGGCATGACAGGTAAGTCAGGCTTGGCAAGTTGATATGCTAGCTCAATGGTCTGCATGATCCACTTTGAAAGTCTCTGCGAACCAAACTGAGCCCTTATCATAGTCTGAGTATTTAACAAAGAGGTGGTTAGATTTATGGAAGGACTCCATGCGAGACCTATAAAAGGCAAGGCAGTGACTAACGTCGAGAGCATGTAATGACTGTTCTATTGGTGTAGCGGACGTAGGGAAAAAGGCCAGTAACACAATGTCCTGGTTAATATGAAAAGGAGACACAACCTTGGACAAGAACGCCGGATCAGTACGGAGAACGACTTTCTCCTTATGGAAGTTAAGGTAAGGAGGATCTATCCGAAATGCGCAGAGTTCACTAGTCCTTCTGGCAGACGTGACCGCGACAAGAAAGGCAGTCTTCCAAGACAGGAGACGTAAGTCAGTACTTGCCAGGGGCTTGAAAGGAGCTCGGGTGAGTGCCTGAAGAACAACTGAAAGGCTCCAAGTAGGGATAACTGGACAAAGTGGTGGTTGGAGGTTCTGTAAACCCTTGAGGAATTGACATATGAGGGTGTGAGAAAAAACCGAAGAACCCCGCACTTGTCCACGGTTGTGGGAAATTGCAGCTATATAAACTTTAATGGATGATGGCCTAAGTCCCAGTTGATGGAGCGACAAGAGGAACTGAAGGATATTTTCAACAGTGGCTGAAGAAGTGGCAAAATTTTTGGATTCAGCAAAGGATGCGAAGTGCTTCCATTTGACCGCATAAGATCAGCGAGTTGCAGGTTTTAGGGCAGACTGAAGAATGAATTGAATATCTGGATGGAGAACGCTCGGATCCGATGAGGAGTCTACCAGTATCAGGGAAGAAGAAACTGTATTGGGACGGTGGCGGAAAAGTGTAGGAGTCCCTGAATCCATCGGTACCGAAGAGGCCCCGTGGTTCATCGAATGAGCCAGGCTGTCAGGCTGAGTGAGGGAAGATCCAGGTGGCGAACAGCTCCGCACTGTTGAGTATTAGATGAGGTATGAGAGGCAGGCGGAGAAAGGCGCTGCCAGATAGACAGAGAAGAGTAGGGAACCACAGTTGACAGGGCCACCAGGGGGTGATCAGGATCCCTGAGGCACCGTCGTGGAAGATCTTGGCTAGGACCCTCGTTATGAGCGGGATCGGGGGAAATGCATAAAAGAACGTGTTGGACCAAGGGATCATGAGCGCGTCCCCTGTCAATCCCGGGCCGATGCCGGCATGAGAGTAGAAAACCTCGCACACCTTGTACAAGTGAGTTGTAAACAGGTCTATGTCCAGAGAGCCCCAAGTCCGGAAGAGGCGATGGCAGGTCGGATGATCCAGTTCCCATTCGTGGGTCGTCGACATCCGCCTGCTGAGGGTGTTGGCCTCCTCGTTGTCAGTACCGGCCAGGTGAACCGCAAGGAGGGTGATCTCCCTGGGGATGCACCAGTCCCACAGTTGCATCGCCAGGCGGGCCAGGGGGGCAGACTTTGTCCCTGTTTGTTTATATAGAATACAGCGACAATGTTGTCGGAGAAAATTTGCACAACGTGTCGCCGGAGAGTGTCCTCGAATGATTGAAGGACTTTGAAGACCACCAGGAGTTCGAGGTAATTGATGTGTCTAGTGGTCTCCTGGTGGTTCCAGGTGCCCTGCGTTCAGAGACCGGCACATAGGGCTCCCCACCCGGTCAGGTAGGCATTGGTAAACAAAGTCAAGGTTGGGTGGGGCGGACGAAATGGGACACCCACGGACAGATTGTGCCGCATAGTCCACCACGATAGGGTCTGGAGGATGGAGGTCGAAAGGCGGAGGAGACGGTGAGGCGAGTCTCATTGAGGTTGAAACAGTCCGTTGAACCACAACTGGAGTGGTCTCATCCGCAGCCTGGCAGGGGGAACTGTGGAGACTGTAGAGGCCATGTGGCCGAGAAGTTTCTGTACTGAGAGTGCTGGAACAGCTCTGTTCATGTGGATTCGACGGATCGATGAACACAGATTGTCTTGTCGACTTTGTGGAAGAAAGGCTCTTGTCAGTGTGGAATCGAGACGGGCTCAAATGAAGTCGACAAGTGACCTGTGAAAGAGTAAGGCACAATTTCTCATGATTAATGCGTAGTCCCAAATTGCCCAAGAGGGTACAAATAATTTGAATTGATGACCGAAGACTTTCTTTAGATGGGGAGTCATCCAGCTAGGGGTACACTTGAGTGCCTTGGAGCCGGAGATGTGCACACACTGGAGCCATACATTTCGTAAAAACACGGGGGGCTGTAGCCAGTCCAAACGGAAGGACGTTAAACTCAAACAGGTCGGAACCGACAGTGAATTGGAGAAGACGCCTGTGGGACAGGTGAATGGAAATGTGAAAATAAGCATCTTTCAAGTCCAGAGAAGCAAACTAATCCTCTCTCCTAAGCAATGGAAGGATATTTTGAAGGGTAGTCATCCAAAATTTCTTGATTTTGATGAACCTATTGATGCCACATAGGTCCAGTATCGGACGAAGAC